TGGCAAAAGGCGACTACGGAATGGAGGCCCTATGTCTAAAAAGCTCAACTCAGGGATTGGAGCTCTAATGTTGGCAAAAAAAGCGACTAAGGAATGGAGGCCCTATGTCTAAAAAGGCTTAACTCAGGGATTGGAGCCCTAATGTTGGCGACTAGGGAATGGAGGCCCTGTGTCTAAAAAGCTCAACTCAGGGATTGGAGCCCTAATGTTGGAAAAAAGGCGACTAGGGAATGGAGACCCTATGTCTACTAGGGAATGAAGGCCCTATGTCTAAAAAGGCTCAACTCAGAGATTGGAGCCCTAATGTTGGCAAAAGGCGACTAGGGGATGGAGACCCTATGTCTAAAAAGCTCAACTCGGGGATTGGAGCCCTAGTGTTGGCAAAAGGCGACTAGGGATTGGAGGCCCTATGTCTAAAAAGCTCAACTCAGGGATTGGAGCCCTAATGTTGGCAAAAGGCGACTAGGGAATGGAGGCCCTATGTCTAAAAAGCTCAACTCAGGGATTGGAGCCCTAATGTTGGCAAAAGGCGTAAAAGGTTGAGATTAGGGGTTCTGAACTATCATTTTGTTCAGATTTTCTTCTTTCCTTCTCTCTTTTTTTTCATTTTCTCTTTCATTTCTTTTATTTCAATAAAATGCACGAAAGAATTTTGGAAGAAAACTTTTCTTTTGGATTGATTGTTTCTACAAAGTTGTTTCTAGCTTTTGCGTAGCTTTTCTTTTGGCTGCACCTGCTTTTGCACGGTTGCCTTGGGTTGCACCTGTTTTAATTTTAAACAAAGAAAAATTATTGGTTTGAAATGGTGGTTGGTTTTGTGGCCTTGATTGTCTCAATCACTCGATCTCGGCCCGAACCTTTGTTGAGAACCTCTGCTGCTTAGTGGTTTTCTTAAGATTGATCTATCTTTCAAACCGAGGGACTCAGCATTTAAGATTTCATGACGGCTTACCCACGTGGGGCTTCGGCCCTTTCACTTTATTCCACCTTTGGGCTTTTGCCTTTGGCTTTCTTTTCCTTTTCAATAAATTTTATTTCAAAGCATCAGCCATCATGGCCAGTCGGGATCGACTTGATGCACCCGCTGAGGTTGGGTACTTTTCTTTAGCTTCTGTTAAGCAGGACCCTGTAAAGCCAATCTTGCCACCTTTTATTTGTATTAGTTTCGGAAACAGAGTTAGACCGAAATTGATTCAAGGAAAACTAAGCAAAAGGCAAGAAAATGAATTTAGAGAGAAGTGTCTCTTTCAGGGAGGAAGGACGGACTTATCTGGGGTGCATGCAGACTTCAATAGACATGACATGCTTCTTCGACTAGATGCCTGATCCGCACAACTATCCAACTTCTCACATACCCATTGCGACTGATGTACCGGAGATTTTCGGCACATTTCAATACTAATTGCTTAGATTTTAGCTTGTTTTAATGCAATTATCTCTGTTACTTATGTAGTTTTGTTGTTTCTACAGTACATAAGGACTGAAAACCCAAGAACATGGAAATGGAAGCAAAAAGACAAGAAAAGAGCAAAATGTAGCAAAAATGCTGGTCTGCGATACACTATGAGATCGCAGATCAGACATGCGAGTCACATAATGCACGTCAAATCACAGACAAAAGCAGAGATTTGGGTTAAATATCAAGTCAATAATGCGGTCCATTATGCGACCGCAGAACCAACATGTGAGCCGCAGAGTGAACCGCAAACCAACCATGAAGGTCACTGAAGGACGAAGATGCGATGCAAAATGCGTTCGCATTTCTGCAGTGCAATCCACATAATTGGAATGCGAAGAAGACCTGTAAACTAGGGTTCCAGTCTGCGATGAGGATGTTCAAGATGCGGACCGCATACGTGCTCAGCGACAAGAATGCGATCGCATATCAGACCTGAAAGGGCATTTTTGTCCGTTTTCTATCCCGATTTTGAGTCTACTATAAATAGTTTTATGATGACTTTGTGGGCTCATCTTGTCTAGTCTTTGAACCACATTACAAGACATTAATATTCCTCACTTTTAGAAGCTTTTGGGTGAAGATTCTCTAATTTGTATGATTTTATGACATTAAATACTCTTTGGTTTTTGTATTGTAGTATGAGTAGCTAACTTTAAATACTAAGGTTGTGGACCCTAAATGGGTGTTATGCTAATGGGTGTTTAACATTGAATATATATATATAATGGTTGGTTGATATTTGTTTACTTCTCATTCTTCATTTATTGTTGGTGGTTGCAAACATTAACAAGTGCCATTAAATT